TTTACCATCAGGCAATTCATAATTCTTTTCAATTGTTTTTTCTTTTTTCTTCATTTCTTGATCAAAATCCAAAGCAACATAACATAATTTTTCTTTAATATCATTAGCAATTTCTAATTGAGATGTTGTTTTAAATTCATATCCTTTTTCATTCAAAATTTTGATTAAATAATCGGTTATTTTTCTTCCTGTCAAATTGAATTTGACTATTGAATCTGATAAAATAAATCCTTGATAAATAGGGACAATTTGAATCACTCCACCTCCCATTTCAACAACAATTCCTGTTGTTTTTCCATTTGAAATTAAGGATAAAAATGCTTGATTTTCAAGATATAAGGAAGGGATATCAAATGTTTCAAACATAATTTGAGTGATTTTTTCTTTATTTATTTTTGGATTAAGAGAAACATCAGATAATAAAACAGGATGATAATCAGGAGAAATGCACAATTCATTATAAAAAGTATGATGCCAAATTCTTTGGATATCATCAAAATTTTGAATTATTCCATTTTCTATTGGATAAGTTATTGTTAATATTCCTCTTTTGGATTGTGCTTCATCTCCAATATATGTATCTTTTTGTCCCATTCCTATCATAATTCCATAATGTTTGGGTCTTCCTATTATTGTTGAGAAAACTGCTCTTGGTGCATCATCTCCTGCAAATCCTGCTTTTGTTAGATATGATCCATTGTCAACAACTAATGCACAAGGATCATCAGGTAATAAATCTTCAAAATTTAATTCAAAAGAAAATTTTGATTCCATTTGTAATTTTGGAAATGAAAAAGCAATGAAAAAAAATGAAATTTGATTTTAATTTTAATTTTAATTTTAATTTTAATATTAATTTTGAAATTTTAATTTTAATTTTAAATTTAATTTTAATTTTAATTTTAATTTTAATTTAAATTTTGGTTTTAATTTTAATTTTAATTTTAATTTTAATTTTAATTTTAATTTTAATTTTAATTTTAATTTTAATTTTAATTTTGATTTTAATTTTAATTTTGATTTTAATTTTAATTTTAATTTTAATTTTGATTATTAAATTTGTTAATTAATAAATCAAATAAATTTGGATTTGTTTGATTTAATTGAAAATAATCAATTCCAATTTGAAGTTCATTAATAATTTCTTGTGTAATTTTAATTTCATCTTTGATTTGATTTGAATAAATCCAATATTCAAATATTTGAAATGATCTATTACTTAATTCACTATAATCTGTAACTTTATTAGAAGTATCTTCTGTTACAGATAAAAACATTCCTCGATATAATTCACTTCTCATTATTAATATTAATTTAGGAAATTTATATTGTTTTTCTTTTCTTTCAATAATAAAATCTTTTTCATTTTCATTTAAATAAATTCTTTTCATTGTTTCTTCAATTTTTTCATTTGAATTTATAATTTCTTTAATTTCAAAATATAATTTTGGATTTATTCTTGGGTTGTTTGAGTAAATCATTTCAAATATTTGATTTGATTCTTTAATTGATTTTTTTGAAATAATTTCTTCAAGTTTTTCAATTTCATTTTGATTTTGATTTAATCTATATTTCAATATTAATTTATGAGCTTTGATTATTTCTCCATTTTCGGTTTTAAATGAAATATTACAAAATTCTTTTCTTCGAAATAGTTTTATCAAATCTTCTTCAAGATTAGAAAAAGAAGGAGAATAATAAAGAAATGATTTGTGATATCCACAAGAAATATGATAATTGGAAATATCTTCATTAAATCTTAATTTAGGAAGTTCAATTTGAAATGGAATTGGTTGATTTTTTGTATTTCCAATTCCTAATTGACCATAAGAATTATTTCCAAATACTATCAATTTTGAATTTGAAGTTAAAATCAAAGTATGACCATTTCCAACAGAAATATCAAGAATATTATTATAATTTTCAAATAAAGATGATTTGATTTCAGTAAATTCATAAGCATTTTCATCATTTTGGCCAAGTCCATTATATAGATTTCTCCCACATGAATAAAGTTTTCTTTTTGGATTTTGATTTTGATTTTCATCTTCAATAAAAAGTATTGAATATTCATATGCACATTGAATATCAATTATTTTACCTTTTGGGATGTTTTTTATTTGGATTTTGGTTAATTTTTGGATTTCAGTTTCATTTCTTCTTGATTCTCCTAATCCAAGTTTCCCAAATTCATTATTTCCGCATCCAAATAATTCTTGATTTGAATTTAAAAGAAAAACATGAAGTGAAGAATTTCCTGAAAATATTTTAGAAACATTTTTCATCATTAAAATTGGTTTTTCTGTTTTTTGAAATGCTTTAGAATCAAAACCAAGTTGACCATATTGATTTAAACCAATTCCATAAACATTTTGATTTGAAGTTAATAAGTAAATTGAATTATATCCAGAAACAATATCTTCAATTATTCTATCATTTGTATCTTCAATTAATGATGAAATATTGATAAATTCTTTTGGATTATTTGGATTAATATCTTTTCCTTTGGCAAATACATTTCCTTCTATTGTTAAAATAGCTTCATTTAGAACACCAACAGTTACTTTTTGAATATTTTCTTCAATTTGGATTTCTTCAGGATTTTGATTTAAATCTTTTTGAGTTAAATATTCTATCGCTTTTCCATTTTTAAAAAGGAAAATTGTTGAAAAAAAACCTGATGAAATTTGTTTAATTTGTTTTTCATTTTCATTTCCATTTTCATTTTCATTTTCATTTTCAAATTTAAATTGAATTGGTTTTGTTATTCTCATTGGCTCATTTTTTATAAGTTTTGGATAATAATTTTCACCAAAATATAAAATTTCATTCATTTTATAAAAAGAAAAAAATGAAAAAATTTTTTTTGCTTTTTAATTTTAATTTTGATTTTAATTTTAATTTTAATTTTAATTTTAGATTTTAATTTTAATTTTAATTTTAATTTTGATTTTAATTTTAATTTTAATTTTAATTTTAATTTTAATTTTAATTTTAATTTTAATTTTAATTTTAAATTTAATTTTAATTTTAATTTTAATTTTAATTTTAATTTTAATTTTAATTTTAATTTTAATTTTAATTTTAAATTTTTGATTTTAATTTTGATTTTAATTTTGATTTTAATTTTAATTTTGATTTTAATTTTAATTTTAATTTTTATTTTTATTTTGATTATTAAACTTGTTAATTAATAAATCAAATAAATTTGGATTTGTTTGATTTAATTGAAAATAATCAATTCCAATTTTAATTTCATTAATTATTTCTTGTGTAATTTGAATTTCATTTTTAATTTGATTTGAATAAATCCAATATTCAAATATTTGAAATGATTTATTACTTAATTCACTATAATCTGTAACTTTATTAGATTTATCTTCTTTTACAGATAAAAACATTCCTCGATATAATTTACTTCTCATTATTAATATTAATTTTGGAAATTTATATTTCTTTTCTTTTCTTTCAATAATAAAATCTTTTTCATTTTCATTTAAATAAATTCTTTTCATTGTTTCTTCAATTTTTTCATTTGAATTTATAATTTCTTTAATTTCATAATATAATTTTGGATTTATTATTCTGTTTGAATAAATCATTTCAAATATTTGATTTGATTCTTGAATTGATTTATTTGAAATAATTTCTTGAAGTTTTTCAATTTCATTTTGATTTTGATTTAATCTATATTTCAATATTAATTTATGAGCTTCAATTATTTCTCCATTTTTGGTTTTAAATGAAATATTACAAAATTCTTTTCTTCTAAATAGTTTTATCAAATCTTCTTCAAGATTAGAAAAAGGAGGAGAATAATAAATAAATGAATTGTTATATCCACAAGAAATATGATAATTGGAAATGTTTTCATTAAATCTTAATTTAGGAAGTTCAATTTCAATTGGAATTGATTGATTATTTGTATCTCCAGTTCCTAATTGACCATCATAATTATTTCCAAATCCAATCAATTTTGAATTAGAAGTTAATATCAAATTATGTGTATCTCCAACAGAAATTTCAAGAATATTATTATCTTCAAATAAAGATGATTTAAGTTCAGTAAATTCATAAATATATTCATTTTTGCCAAGTCCATTATATTGAGAATATCCACATGAATAAAGTTTCCTTTTTCCATTTTCATCTTCATTTTCATTTTCAATCAACATTATTGAATGATTATTTCCACATTGAATATCAATTATTTTACCTTTTGGAATATTTTGGATTTTGGTTAATTCTTGGATTTTTGTTTCATATTTTCTTGATTCTCCTAATCCAAGTTTCCAAAATTGATTATTTCCGCATCCAAATAATTCTTGATTTGAATTTAAAAGAAAAACATGATTTGAAGAATTTCCTGAAAATATTTTAGAAACATTTTTCATCATTAAAATTGGTTTTTCTGTTTCTGGAAGTGTTTTAGAATCAAAACCAAGTTGACCATCTTCATTTGAACCAATTCCATAAACATTTTTATTCGAAGTTAATAAGTAAATTGAATTATATCCAGAAACAATATCTTCAATTATTCTATCATTTGTATCTTCAATTAATGATGAAATATTGATAAATTCATTCGGATTATTTGTATTAATATCAATTCCTTTTGCAAATACATTTCCTTCTTTTGTTAAAATAGCTTCATTATGAACACCAACAGTTACTTTTTGAATATTATCTTCAATTTGGATTTTTTCAGGTTTTTTATTTGGATATTTTAAATATTCTATTGCTTTTCCATTTTTAAAAAGAAAAATTGTTCTCGAAAAACATGATGAAATTTGTTTAATTTGTTTTTCATTTTCATTTTCATTTTCAAATTTAAATTGAGTTGGTTTTATTATTTTATTTGGTTCATTTTTGATAAATTTTGGATATTGATTTGAACCAAAAAATAAAATTTCATTCATTTTTGAAAAGAAAAAAATGAAAAAATGAAAATAAAAAAGGAAAAAAAAATAAATAAAAAATAAATAAAAATAAAAAAATAACGATCTTGATGGGACTTGAACCCACAATCTTTAGATCCGGAATCTAACGCCTTATCCATTGGGCTACAAGATCAAAATTTAATTTAAAATTTAATTAAGAAATTTAATTAAAAAATTTTTTCTTTTTTTTTTTTTAAAATAAACTTCTTTTAAATTAAAATTTTATTTTTGATTTTTTTGATTTTCTTCTTTTTTCTCTTCCAAATTATCCATTAAAAATTCACCAATATTTTCAATTTCATTTTTTAAGAATTTATTTGTTTTTGGATCTAAATCTAAAGCAACTGAAAAAGAATCTATTGCTTCTTCCCATCTTTTTTCTCTTTTATAAACTCTTCCAAGAAGTAAATGAACACCTGATTCTTTTGGAACATTTTCTCTCAGATTAAGTAAAATTTTTTCTGCTCCCTAATTATTAAATTTATTATTAAAATTATTATTAAAATTATTATTAAATTATTATTAAAATTATTATTAAAATTATTATTAAAATTATTATTAAAATTATTATTAAAATTATTATTAAAATTATTATTAAATTTATTATTAAATTTATTATTAAAATTATTATTAAAATTATTATTAAAATTATTATTAAATTATTATTAAAATTATTTATAAAATTATTATTAAAATTATTATTAAATTTATTATTATAATTATTATTAAAATTATTATTTAATTTATTATTAAAATTATTATTTAATTTATTATTAAAATTATTAAAATTATTAAAATTATTAAAATTATTAAAATTATTAAAATTATTAAAATTATTAAAATTATTAAAATTATTAAATTTATTAAAATTATTAAATTTATTAAAATTATTAAAATTATTAAATTTATTAAAATTATTAAAATTATTAAATTTATTAAAATTATTAAATTTATTAAAATTATTAAAGTTATTAAAATTATTAAAATTTGATTAACTACTTTGTTATCATATAAATCAAATAAAATATTTGCTTTTTTAAACAAAGCAACTGCATTATTAGGATTTTTTTTAATTGCAATTTTAAGTGAATTTAACGCTTCAGGAACTTTTTGATTTGCATATAAAGCCATTGCATAATAACAATGGAGAATAGAGCTATTATCAGAAATATCCAAAGCGCGTTTAAAATGATATAAAGCTAATTCAAATTTCTCTTGGTGCATATAAACAGATCCCAAACCATACCAAGCATTCCAGTGTCTGTGATCAACAGAAAGAGCGCGACGGAAAAAAGATAACGCTTTTTCGAAATTTTCTCTTGTGATATATTCGTGGCCCGAAAGGGTATAAGCATAGGCAAAATATGGATTTAATTGAACAGCCTAAAATTCCATTTCAAACGGTTTTTTTTTATTTAATTATTTTTTTTTCATTTTGCAATCCACATTTATAATTGTTTACTCTTTGGAAAAATTTAATTGCAGTTTCATGCTCCTTTTGAAGACTGAAACAATTTCCAATTGCACACCAAGTTTCAGGACACATTCTGTCCAATAAAATCAAGTCATTTGCGAGATGACTAAGTTCATAATCCTTATGCAAATGCCAAAGAACTGTTGAATAGATTTCCATGTCTTTCGTCATATAAGGCGCTATTTTTCGCGCTTTTTCAAACATTTGATATGATTGCTGAAATTGACTCAGTTCAAAATAAGCGCGAGCAACTTGAGAAAGAACCCATCCAGATGCAAAATGACATGGTTGAAGACTTTTGAATTTTTCAATGCTTTTTTCGCATTTATATTCCGTTAAATATCCATATGCTTCTGCAAATACTCGAATTAATCCTAAATATTCATTGATTCCTTTTGACATTTTTTCTGCTTTTTCGTTTTCTTCTTTTTCAATAACAATTTTTTTTCTCTCTTTTTTTTGGTGTCCAATTTCATTTGGTGTTTTTGGATCATGTGAAATAAAATTATGTGAAGGAGCTTTTGTTTTTCTTGTTTTTACTGGCTTTTGTTTTTTTGTGCTTGGTTTCAACATTGAAAACTCAAGTTCTTCAAGATTATTGTTATTATTTTTACTTTCTGTTTTTTTACTTTCTATTTTTTTACTTTCTATTTTTTTACTTTCTGTTTTTTCTTTTTTTGTTTTTTCATCTTCAAATTTTAATGTAACTGTTTGAACTGGTTGGTTTAAACCATCTCTTTGTTTTTGTTTTGTTTTTAGTTTTGGCATTTGGGGTTGTCTAACTGTTGGTGAAGGAGTAACAAAATTATTAGCAACTGGTGTGAAATAAGGAGTTTCAATAAAAGGTTTTTGAGTAGCAACATTTCTATAAAATCAAATTTTGAATTTTAATTTTATAAATAATTTTAAATTTTAAATTTTTAATTTTATAAATAATTTTGAATTTTAATTTCAATTTTAATTTTAATTTTATAAATAATTTTAATTTGAATTACTTTGGTGTATTTAATGGTGTTGATAAAGATGTGAAAGTTTTTTGTTTTTGTTTTTGTTTAATTGAACTTTTTGAAAAAGTAATTGCTCTTTTTGAAGGTTTTTTTCTTGAAATATTTTTATGAGAAACTGTTTGAGGAGTTTCCATTATATTCATTAAATAATTTGATTTATTTGGGATTGGAGACACAATTTCTTGTTCATTAGATATTTGTGTAATTGTATTATGAGGAATTTGTGATAAATTAGGAATTTCAGAAGGAAATGATATTGTTTCAAACGTATTTGGATCAAGAAATAATTCATCAATTTTTAAATTTTCTTCTAATTTGCTTAATTCTTGAAATGAAACCCACATAAAAGGATTTTTTTGAAATGAAAGTTTGAAACATTTTGATGCTTCTTTATTTCGATTTTGTTGTTTGTAAACCATTCCAAGAAGAAAAAGACCTGAACTTCCATTAGGAACTAAATTAATACTTCTTCCCTTTTTAAATATAAAATTTAAAATAAAATTATTTATAAAATTATTTATAAAATTAGTTATTAAATTATTTATAAAATTATTTATAAAATTATTTATAAAATTAAATATAAAATTATTTATAAAATTATATATAAAATTATTTATAAAATTATATATAAAATTATATATAAAATTAAATATAAAATTAAATATAAAATTATTTATAAAATTATTTATAAAATTATTTATAAAATTAAATATAAAATTATTTATAAAATTATTTATAAATTTAGTTATTAAATTATTTATAAAATTATTTATAAAATTATTTATAAATTTAGTTATAAAATTATTTATAAATTTATTTATAAAATTATTTATAAAATTATTTATAAAATTATTTATTAAATTGTTTATTAAATTATTTATAAAATTATTTATAAAATTATTTATTAAATTAATTATAAAATTAAATATAAAATTATTTATAAAAATTATTTATAAAATTATTTATTAAATTATTTATAAAAATTATTTATAAAAATTAATTATAAAATTATTTATAAAATTATTTATTAAATTATTTATAAAATTATTTATAAAATTATTTATTAAATTATTTATAAAATTATTTATAAAATTATTTATAAAATTAAATATAAAATTAAATATTAAATTATTTATAAAATTATTTATAAAATTATTTATAAAATTTATTATAAAATTATTTATAAAATTATTTATAAAATTAATATAAAATTATTTATAAAATTTATTATAAAATTATTTATAAAATTACTTTATAAGAAGAAGATGAAGTTAAAACCTCTTCAGCTTCAATAAATTTACTCAAACTATAACAACATAAAGCAAATAAATAACGATTATTTGAATTTGAATAAAGTTGAGAACCAGCCATTTGTAATATTCTATAAGCTTGTCTAACTTTCCCCATTCGATAATAAACTTCAGCAATAATAAATAAGTTATTTTCATTAGGAAATTCTGAATAAAGTCTTTCAGCAAGAAAAACAGCATTTGAATAAAGATATTGATTTAACGACCAATTAACTCTTTGTTGTAAAATTTCTTCCATTTTTAATTTTAAAAATAAAAAAATGAAAAAAATTTTTTTTGATTTTTCTTTTTTCATTTTTTTATTTTAATTTATTTTTTTTCTAAATGTCTTCTAATATAAATTCTAATTCAAATCAAAATTCAAATCAAAATTCAAATCAAAATTCAAATCAAAATTCAAATCAAAATTCAAACCAAAAACAATTAAATTTCTCTTCAAATTTTGATCAAATTATATTCAAAAAAATTTTCAAAAGATCAATAACAGAAAAAATTCCAAAACAAATTTTATTATTCTCCAAGAAAAAGAAGGACATGATTACCCATGAAACAACAAATTATGTTGAAGCTGAAGAAGTGACGAATCTAGATTATCGCAGCATCATATTTTATATCCTTTTTAAAAACAAATATTCAGAACCAACAAAACAATTCTGCAATTTTTTTCTTAAACATCTTTCCAAATTTTTTCCGATCAGAATTATTCTTCAAAAACTCGTCAAAATCACTCAAAAAGTTTTCCCAAATGCATATCTCAACACAACATTTCTTAAAACAAAGAAGGAAATATCAGAACATCTTTTCAAATTCCTGACATTTTTAAACAATCGCAATTTAATTCCACAAACAAATCTCTTCCAATATCAAGACAGATACACAATCAAGATCGCTCAAGATTCTCAACGGATGTCAATCTCATATATTCTTGAGCGAGCGCGGTTCCATTTGAATTTATATTTGCGATGGTTTTATATAATTTTCATTCCGTTAAATAACGAAACAGCTGTCAAACAATTCGTTTCATTTCTCCTTTCGGATCCCATTTATATTCAGGAAACAAAACCCTACATAAACAACGATCCGCAGGAAATCATCACCATCAATAATCAAGATGGGAATTTTGCCATTAGATTCCAGACTGACAAGCTTTTTCCATGCCAAATTGGGCCTGATTTTCAAGACTTCTATCGATACCAACCAAATCAGTTTTTTACATTTGGAAAGCATCAAAATCACCAATGTTTAACCTCTGTTCTTTCCTTTAACTCGATCCCCTGCGGCTCTCTTTTTGATTTCTGTATCAATTTCCCAGATAGCGTGCAATTTTTGATTCAAGATCATT